AGAGACTTCTCTGCTTTTTTCTCTTGATGATGAAGAAGACATGGATTATTCTTGTTTGATTTGTTAGTAGCACAGAAAACAAATCTGCCTTGTAAGCCTTTGACATTGAGGAGGGCAGACCCCAGAGCAAGAGGTGAATGTGGAGAATTCATAAAGTGTTTTGGGTGAGCGCCACCTGCACGCATTAAAAGTGTAGGGTTTGGAATTCAATGTTGAATGCATGAATGAATGAATGACTCTTGCTTGGCCATAGGTACTTGAACTTTATTTCCACTCTGTCTCTCTCAAAGTACGCGCATAATCTTTAGAGAAAATATGCAGAGGACAGAAGCATTTTCGAGAAACAGTGTATCCCCCTCCCAACCACCATAAGTGGTGAATCAGTAATGTTAGGTCTGTGTTAGAAGATGGGCAATTCTGATTAGACTCCCATCTCCCCACCCTAGATGTAGTTAGAGATAGTTGCTTCCCCCAGAGAGAAGCATGGTCTATATCAGAACATGCTGACAGCTACCAAATATGCTGTCCGTCGGGTACAACTTAACAGAGTGCGGTAATGGGCTTGTTTCTCCTCTCTTTGGAGTGGAGGGTAGGTGTTTGGGGAAGGGCAGAGATGTGGATGCGAAGGTGGCCAGCACAGTGTTGCATACGGAGAGGTGGGGATCAGCTTGCCTCTCCCGACTTTCACTCTCCTCTGTCTTAACGGTTGTAGGATTCCCATGTTCCCCAGCATCCGTGTCCTTAAAGACACCTCAAACCATTATCGTGTGTGTATCCCCCTAGAGCCCAACAAGTAGAGGTGAGGCTATGACAAGAGTTTCCATGGCACCCACGGGATGGGGCAGGGTAGTGAGGCGGAGAGGGTCATGATGAGGCAGGGCTAATGGGAAGCTTGTTGGATGTGCATTGCATTTCCCTGGAATGCAGGGGGTCAAAGCATGCATTTGGCCTGTAAGAGGGGGGCTCTGTGTGTGTCCTGGGTAGGCCACTTGGGATGGACATCAACACATCAACCACACACTGCACCAAGTTGATTTATGCACAAGAACATTTCTGCTGATCTTAAAGATAAACCTTCCAAGACGCTAAGAGCCTAAGTGGCAGCTTCCTCTTCAGCCAAAATAAATGGAGAGTGGCCAGAGGGCTGAAAAGGGAACAGAAGCCAGGGGAGGATATGCGAGGTGGTAGTGGGGTGGTGGATAGCAGGCAGAGGTGAAACAACACCCCACATCAGTTTCCTGTTCGGGAAATTGTTCTCCTTCTGGGGCCAGACAAGACTCTTAGGTACGGATGGCTTGAGGAGAAGGGTGGGAGATGAAATGCAAGCAAGACAAAATGCCTGCAGCTCGGAGCAGGGGAGAGAGGAGAGAGGCTGAACAGAGGGAAATAGGTCTAGTTTCCAGTGGAGCACAAGCCCCTCACGTTCGCTTGATCTCGGTATGGACACTGTCGTGGGACGGAGCTTCTGAGGCTGATTTCAGAGGAAGTGAGTCATTGAAGATCTGGTTATACCTTGAGCAAGTGTATCCTTCCATCCTCGTATGTCATCACTGCCTCTGATGCTCAGAGTTCCAAAACAAGGATGCAGAAGGACAGTGCTTTAGAATCCACACAAACGTTTGGTTGGTTCCTAGTTCCGTGATGTGATCTACCTATTGAATGAATGGATGGACAGATGGATGAGGTCCTGGTCCAATGAGATGAGCAGATACTGCATAGCAATGCCCCTTTTGGAGGGTTACAGAGCAAGGTAGCATATTAGAGGCTCTGAGAAGTGCTGTACTAGAGGAATTTGTTTAACAGATCATTCCTTAAACTTCCCTGACTGAAGGCGGTCCTGCTCTGCTCCCTGGATTAAACAAGCTATGTAGCCTTACACGATGTCCTCCCTTTGCCCCCCGTCTTTCTTTAGTAACATCAATTAACGTCTTGAGAGATTCTTGCATTCTATGGGACATGGTTTAGGAAACACTGGATTAAGATAATGCTTTGCCCGTCATGAGTGTGCAAACGGCATTACTCCCACAACATTAGTGGGCTACAAAGTCTGAGTGGGGTTGACTTGTGTCAGTGCACTCATCCATCAATCCTGCTGGAATCCACAAAATCCCTTTGCAAGATGGTTTCCTGAGATAAGAATGCAGCTTGTGGCCACAGACAGAGGGTGAGATTAGCTTTGCATGAGGATACCAGCCACAGCCAATTTTCTTAGCTTGGTACTTTAAGGCTCTGGCTGTCCTTTGATCTGAGTGAATTCTGGTATTGGCGGGTGGTAGTGGAAATGAGCTACGGTCCTTTTAAATGCTTAAAGGCCGCTGACATTCAGTACCATGTATATATTTATACATATATATCCACGAATCCTTCAAAGCAAGTATGTCTTAAAACTGCAAAAGGACTGAATGATCCCCCAAACCTGTTTCCCATTTCTAAGTAGCGAATACCCCATAAATCTTCAGTGTTTTTTGATTTGGTTTCTAGAACAGTGGTTCCCCAACCTTACTGTGGATTAGAACCAAGCTTTTTAATTCTGATGGCTGTATTTCTTTCCATTCCAACTAAGTCACAGCGCTGCAGGTGGGAGCCAGGCATATGAATTTTTAAAAGATCCCCGGTAATTCCAATATGCAGTAAAGTTGGAGGACTGCTGGTTTAGAAGCATTTGAGTTTCTGGACAGTTTATTATAACAGCCATAACCTCTGTGAGAGAAACAGGCAGAGATTCATCCTGATCTCCCAAGTGAGATAATGGAGCTCCTGAGACACTTAGGAACATGATCAAGGTCACAAATTTGTGTCAGATTCTAGGTAAGTGTCACTCCTTTGAGTTTATTTAGGCCAAGGCCGGCCTATCAGATGAGAGTCTGGAAATGGTGGGACCAGAGATGGATTGGGGTGGGAGGAGCTGGGCTTGAAAACGCAGTATATCGGACATAGGTCTCTGTGCCTGTAGAGGAAACAAGAAACCCACTTCAATGTTATGTCTCCTGCCCCTCCCGTCAATGCTGTTTCTGTCTGTAGACTGCTGGTTTGCATTTCATTTATGGGGAGACAAAATGGAACCTTTGTGCCAGAGTTGAAGGAAATTATAAAAGCCCACAGCTTGTCTTCAGACTTAATGTCAACTATTTGTCTCCTTTATTCTCAAACAAACAAGTCCTCCCCATGAGTTCTGAGGCCGTCTCAAACATTCCCTGCCTTGGGTTTCCCTGCCTTCATCAGCAGGCATGGCAAAAACGTACCATTCTATAGAATTTTTTAGCAGCCACAGCAGGCTATTGTAGGGGGTCCCGTGAGATAAGATGAGAAGCTTTGAGCAAGATGTTGGGTTATAATGAATGCACGTGGGCGTTGAGACAAATGGTTTGCTAAGAACTGAGCTTCTTTGAGGCTTCAGGGTTCATTAGCTAGAAACTTAGAAGCAAGGATGAAAGGCATTATCCAAAATTCCCCAAATATCATGAGTTCAAAACATTTTCCCGTCCTCTGGCCTGATGGATTAGTCCTATTGTGCCTTTCCAAAAGTTCTGCAGATAGGGGGGATGAGTCAAGAAATCTCTTCCCTTGGAGCACTGGGGTGACAACCTCTATGTTACTGGGGACTTGGGATGGGTGGCCGGCAGTCCTGAGATCCATGGTCTTAGAAGGAGATATAGAACTTTCTTTTTTTTGTTATTTATTATTACCTGAGGCTGTAGGCTAGAGGACTATGTGAACATTATTTCTTCTCTAACCTCAGGAAAATGATACTGTGAATTCTCCTAAAAATGTGTTGTCATGAGAGATTGACACTAAGACAGGACAGTTAGGGACCCCGTAAGGCCTGGATCTGAGCAGGTTTGACAAAAAGTGGCTTTCAAAAAAAAGAGTATGAATAAATGTCTAGGCTGCTATCCTTTGTTAGGTGTGTTATAACAAAATGCTGACATTGGGAATAACTTACTTTAGAAATACAGTGGGATTTAAGGTTGCCCTGGTCAGTAACATACTCGCATACCACAGTGGTTCCTTGGTTGGGAGGAAAAAAGGAGGTGGAAAACCTGGGGATTTGCTTATCTCAGGGGAATGTTTCACGCACGAGCTCGTCAGCCCCTGCGGATGTTGCAGCAGAAAGAAACATGTGGAATCATTATTAAGTTAAAGCAGTGTTACTCAGTGTGTGGTCCTCAGACCAGCAGCCTTACCTGGGAGCTTCTTGGAAATGCACATTCCCAGGTCTCCCAAGCAGACCTACTGAGTCAGAACCGCAGGATGGGTGGGTCCAGGTGACTGTGTTTTAACAAGCTCTCCAAGCAATGCTAGTGACACTAAAGTTTGAGAAGCACTGCCCTAGACTGCTGGTTCTCAAAGTGTGGTCTCCTGACCCATAGCACTAGCATCACTGGGGAACTTGTGAAAAACCATCTGAGACTTTTTTCACTAGCACGTGATGGTAGAAATGCTCCATGGCATTTCAAGTGTTCAAGGGCCACAGAGATGGCCAAACTGAACATACAAAATAATGAGCTCTTGGCTAAAATCTCTCCGATGCGCCTTTCCCAGTCTTAGAACTGGAAAGGACCTAGAGAGATCTCCTGGACCTGTTTCCTGTCACTAGGAGTTAATAATAAAACCTTACAGACTGTCAGCATTTCCCTCCCCGCTTCTGGTTTAGAACGTTGACTGTTGAATCAGGAGCTCTGGAGGTGGGGCTCAGCACTCTGTGTTTCAACAAGTCCCCGGGGCAGATTCACCCTCCCATTTGAGGACCACTAGACCACAGTTCCCATCAGACTGCCCACATGCATGATGATCACCTTCCCCCCATTGCTGGCTGAGAAGTGCAGCGAGGAGGCAGAAACTCGGGCCCAGTAACATGCTTGCATCCTGATAGAGAAAACGACATTTACTGTGACCTCTTGTGTTGAGCTCACCTAGTCCCCAGCTCCATGGAAGGTGCATCCTCTTTTCTCAGGTCACTCTGTGGTAGCCCTGGCTAACAGGTGTTATTTTCCTCCAAGGTCTTTGGGCCTTCAGTGTGAAGAACTCTTTAGTGATGGAGGTGATCAGTGCAAGAAAGATAAAGACAGAAGAAGGTAGGGCTTGGGGCCTTAGCAATGGGAGCTCCTGCTGCGAGCTGAGAGTGAAAGCTGAGAGATCCGGGGTGGGAACACATAGAAGTGGGGCTCAGGGCGGCCACTCTTGGTACACCGGTAGAGAGTATACAGCATGCTGGGGAGAGGAAGGAGAGCTGCTGCTCATTTTGTTCCAGACAAGTATAGTTTCACCTCTGCCAGATACAAGCAAAAGCCTTAACCTGCAAGATCTTTGTATTTTTTTTTAATTTTATTTTTAAGTAATCTCCACACCCAACGTGGGGCTTGAACTCACAACCCCTAGACCAAGAATTGCGTGCATACTCTACTGACTGAGCCAGCCGGGTGCCCTGAGATCTTTGCATTTTGCATTTGCTTGGAGGAGACAAAGATGAACCATCGAGTCTGCAGTTGTACATTTTTTTTTTAGTGAGAGGTGATGTCACATATCTTGCCTTCTTAAGGCAGAATAATACACAACTCTTGCAGGGAGATGAAGTCTTTCCCAACACATTCTTTTTTTTTTTTTAAATTTTTTAAAGTTAACATATAATGTATTATTTGTTTCAGAAGTACAGGTCCGTGATTCAACAGTCTTACACAATTCACAGCGCTCACCGTAGCACATACCCTCCCCAATGTCCATCACCCAGCCACCCCCTCCCTCCCACCCCCCTCCACTCCAGCAACCCTCAGTTTGTTCCTGAGATTAAGAGTCTCTTACGGTTTTTCTCCCTCTCCTGTTTTGTCTTGTTTCATTTTCCCCTCCCTTCCCCTATGATCCTCTGTCTTGGTTCTCAAATTCCTCTAATCAGCGAGGTCATATGGTAGTTGTCTTTCTCTGACTGACCTATTTCGCTTAGCATAATACCCTCTAGTTTCCACCCACGCCATTGCAAATGGCAAGATTTTATTTTTCTGATGGCTGCATAATATTCCATTGTGTATATATACCACATCTTCTTTATCCATTCATCTGTTGATGGACATCTAGGCTCTTTCCATAGTTTGGCTATTGTGGACATTGCTGCTTAAACATTGGGGTGCAGGTGCCCCTTCAGACCACTACTTTGTATCTTTGGGTTAGATACCCAGTAGTGCAATTGCTGGGTCATAGGGTAGCTCTATTTTCAACTGTTTGAGGAACCTCCATACTGTTTTCCAGAGGGGTTGCACCAGCTTGCATTCCCACCAACAGTGTAGGAGGGTTCCCCTTTCTCCGCATCCCCGCCAACATCTGTCCCCAACACATTCTTTACTGACAGATCTGTCCCTAGACAATCTCCAGCTTCCGAATGTCCCCACAGGGCAGCCTGGGAATAACTGTATAATCTGTATTGTCTCTGATTATCCCCAGTGATAAGTGTTTTTCACTGAATTGAGGTCGAAGATGGCAAGATCAACCTTTTAACTTCCTTGCCTCCAAAACCCCTATTGAAAATGATCAAAGTATGCACCATTTGCGAAAACAGGGAATGTAGCACCACCAGGAGAGAAATCGTGAAGCATTTCTGCTAGACGGAGTGAAGTTGCAGAGGGCAAAGGGAGGGACTGACCTGCCCATGATTTGGTATCTACAAAAGAAGAGGTTTGGTAAACTCATGGATAGAATTTTCTAGTAAAGCCTCCCTACCGCAAACACCCAAAACTTCTGGCCAGCACTACAGGGAAAAGCATATGGATTTCTGGGCCCGTCAGATCCGAGTTCAAACCCACCATTCCCTAGTTATGCAAGCTAGTCAGCCTCAGTCTTGTTCTCAGTTAACTGGGGGATTAAACCAAACAGTACAGGAGAGGACACATAGTCAAAATGTTCGTAGTCCATTTACTGATTATTACATGCCCGATACTGTGCTAAAAGCTCTACATTTCCTTTAACCCACAGAAGGCTCTATGAAGTCGATTTTGTTCCAGCCACGATTTTACACATAAGGCAACTAAGGTTTAGAAAGGCTAAGGGGTTTCTCAGGTTCACAGCGACTGTGCGGGTATAGAAGGAACTTGGACTCAACCAGACTAATTGCATAGCCCATGCTTTCAGGCTCTAAGCTGAACTGTTCCAAGCCCTTAAAATATATTGCTTTATTTAATCCTTACAATGGCTTCCTGGTAACCATTTTTGTCGGTGGAAAAGAAATAGAAGTCCAGAATGTAAACAATCTAATATTACACAAAGATCTGAAGCCAAGCCTGCTGGACTCCCAAGGTCCCTGCCCTTTACCACCATGTTGTTCCCTTAATTGATATACCCCATGGAATGTCATTCTGTCTCCCATCTTTGGCTTTGACTTTATTCCCACTGAATACAAGGGGTGTTAAGGCCAATTATGTGCGAGGGGGGAAAAGTTCAAAATGTGGTTCCAATACCCTTCAATTCTTTGAAGAACTGGATCATTGTAGGCAAGTGCCTCTAAATCACCTGTATTTCTCTTTGCTGGTAGAACTCACAGAGAACATCGGGCTTCCCGTGAATGTGCTTGAGAAACACAGCCCTTGGCCAGCCTATGTCACATATGTGTCCCCGATGGTGAAAAGACTCATTGAGAAAAGCAAAGCTAGAGATCTGGAATGCATGCAAGCACTCGAGGAAAGCCAACGGACATCGAGGCAGAGCAAGCCAGCCAGCATCACTCAGCTGAAAAGGAGAAAGTCATCTAAGTGCTCTGGAACCTTGGTGTCGAAGGACGTGGGGTCAGAGACCATGTTCTCCATGTGGAGCTCATACTCCATGCCGGCCGTGGGTCCTACCACTATCTCAGAGCCAAGGCACTTTCATACGGATGCCAGCGAAAATCCCACTGCAAACTATAACAAGATCATCTTCTCTCGAAAACTCATGACGAAGATGCTTCCATACAGCTCCCTTCTAGCCAGCAAGGAGAAACATTCAAATATTTAGCAGGGAGTCCCTGCTGTCACCCCCCGCTCCCGCTCCTCCGCCCAAGATTGTACAGCAATTAAGCTCCATTTGTCGCAAATTTCACTATGTCCTTTAAATGTGAACTTGCCCCTGCTTGTGCAGAGGTTGGCTTAGGTAAATCAGATCTGAATGTGGGCTGTGGGTGGGCAGGTGTATCCCCTCCAGCATCATAGTCAGATGCGGTTGGGAAGCCCCACACTCTAGTTCGTGCCATATGATGCTTAGAACCTGAGAGTGAATGAGTCCCAGTCCAGGCAGGACACAGAAATCACACCAGTTACTATGCCAGAGATAATCTGATAGAAAGACTTTCTAACCAGGTAACTGAAAAGGTGGGGAGAGAACCCAAGGGTATTAGTGGCGGTAGCCACCTGCAGGAAGCAGGTTTCCCAAGGCTGGGGGAACAAAGGCGAGATATTGGACTTACTAAAAGTTAGGCACTTGGAGAAGGGGCGTGTGGGCTGAATCTCAGATTTCTGAGACTGGGCGGGGTGGGTGATGCTCCTCAGCTGCTTCTGGTGTCCCTGAGCTCAGAGGAAATTTCCAGTGGGGATGCTACCTCAGTGTCTGTGGAGGGGAAGCTCTTTGGCTGAGGTTGGTTCTGTGATTGTTGGGAAAACCAAAAACTGGACTCAAATGCTTCTGGAAGGAATTGACACTGCCTGAGTGGACAAGAAGCGTTGCCAGTGGAAACAGACAGGGACAGGAAGCCGACAGAGGGTAAACAGGAAGCAAACCAAGAGAGAATTCCTTCGTTCTCTTCCAGCCTCACAGCGCCCCCCTGCCCCATACCTCCTATGGGCAGAGCCTCTCAGGGAGGAAAGCAGGAATGTGGTTTGCAGAATCCCAAACCCCAACATCTCAGCATAGGATAAAAGGATAGACTTGAAGCCAAGCGAACATTCGCTTCAAAACTAGCATGGTGGTGTTCTGAGTAAGCCCACCTTGCTCCACCTGGCACCTGAACTTGGTATTGAAATGTTTTCTCCTTGGCGGGTTTACAAAGTGGCAGTGGGGGTGTGAGTGTCCCCTGCTGAGAAACGGAGGATTTCCTCCCCTGTACTAGTTTAAGGCTTGCCTCGTGGAGTAGAGTTGGCAGGGGAGACGTTCCTGGCTGGACCCCAGCTGTTATTTGTCAGACCACACTTAGGCCTGGTCCATCCGTGCTCTGGGCCGTTTCCCAATTGGCCCCAAAGCAAGTGATGTTAAGCTTAGCCTCAAAGCGGACAGGCTTTGTCTTTCGATGCGAGGGGACTCTGGTTATGACAGGGAGACCTAGCTGATCTCACAACTGAAGTTTATCTATTGAGCATAGCATGGCTCCATTGGTAGCTTTTCTTTGACTTCACCTGAATTCCTGTGTTTATAGTCATGAAGCAGTCAATACCCATCTTGCTTCCCTCAGAGAGATATGGAGGATGTGATGTGCAAGTTGCTGTAAATGCCATGTGAAGAAGTCAGATTTGCCCTACACATGCGTTATTTCCGTACAGGAATCTTGCAGCAACTTTGGCGCTCACCTCTGCTGTGTGAGTAGTGTTGGGACAGCTGCAGAAATTAGGAGCTCTGGACTCATTCCTGGGTTACCAGGTCTTGGCCAGAACGAATTCTTGCAAAAATACAGGTGGTTTCCAGTGAATCTGAATGACCGTATTTTGTGTCTGTGGGTCATTTATAGACATGGAGGCAGGTGATAAATTCCTCCAACAAGAATTTTTATCTCTTCTATCCTTTCATGGGAGTTTAAAGCTAGAATATATTTGGAGTAGATTTGGGAGATTTGCCTATTCTGGAGCACCAGGGATGTCTCTCAAGTTCTCATGAACAAAGCTAGTCCCAGCAAATGTCTAACATTGTTAGAGTTTATAGAGATTTGGGGATTATTTCTTCCAATCCCTTTGAGGGCAGAGCAGTTACTTTTTTTTTTTTTTAAGTTTTCTAGGGGTTTAATAGTTTTTACAAAAGTATCCATATATTCTCTAAATTAAAATGATGGTTTTACAGATAACAGTGTTTAGATTGAGTTAATTCTCAGCCTATTATGACAACACAAGCACGAGTGGAAGGACATTATTAACACCTTATGTTGTGATGAGAATTGCTCGTATCTGGGACTATAGTCCAGACCCACGGTCTCCTAAGACAGTTTTAAGAAAGAAAAAGTCTAATTCCTTTTGAAATGGGGGGACTCTGTTTGAGCCCAAGCTGGGGTTCACAGGCCCAGCCACCATGGGGACTTGACCAGCTGTGACTACGTTTGCATGAGCACCGAGGGGGCTGCTGGGAAGACACCGTTAAATAAGACCAGCTGCACCCAGTAATGAAGACTCCGTCATTGGGGGAGGGAGGGTGATCCTCAGTAATCCGTGTTGCTTGGATATGTCTTCTGCTCCAGACCTCCCTGAGCGCGATGGAGGTGGGGACCAGTGAGTCAAACTCCTCCTAAAAGGCTCTTTTGCTAAAACCCTAGAAAGCCCTGAGTATGCACAGAAAGGGGGAGGAGAGCTTCTTGATTTCACAACACCCCAGCACGCAGGGTCCCACGGTCCTGGGTCTGCCAGAGGCCAGTGGATGCTTGGCAGCACCAGCTTTGTTCATGAGAACCTTTGTTCATAAACCTTTGTTCATGAGAGATATTCCTGGTGCTCCCAGAACAGGCACGCAGCCCTTCCGGGGGCGGAAATCTGAGCCGAGCCGGTGGGGCATGGAACGAAAGGCTTCGAGGCTGGAGGGGTCTGGGCTATCCCTAGGTCCTCTGAATGTATTGAACTTCCATCTCTAAGAGGGGACTAGCTTTCTCTGATGTTCCACAGATCACAGCCTCTTATTTATCTCTTCAGCATCTGGCATTATTCTGTTTGGCAGGAGAGTTGTTTCACTTACTCTCCCCGCCGTGGTAGGTTTACGAAACACCCGAATCTGTATTTTGTTGGCCCTTCTGCGTTGCTCTGTAACCAAGGCCTCCCTCTGACACATTCTGAGTAGCTGTTTTTGAACAAATTCTTTGGCTCCTTGCTCACAATATGGTATTTACCCATTTGCAAATTCCACCGTTGGTGTTTAAACAGTAATGCTTGACCTCGGCCGCTGGTCGTTTTCACTCTGGTGGGTCTGTAAGGACATCAGATAGTCCCGCATGCTGCCATGCTTCAGTCGTGGCCTGGGAGCTCGCCTTGAAGATTAGGCTGCTTGGCAGGTAAGATCCTCCCAGAAAGCCCTCCAGGAGGTTAACTGCATAAACCTGCTGGCGCAGGTGCGTGCAATCCAGATGTTTGGGGGTGGCCTGGGAGCTCTCTTACTGGAATGGGAGGTCTGGTGCGACCAAGACAGAGGTGCTTTCCTTGAGTGGTGGACTTTATTAACAGCCCCTGTGACTGGCACAACATGAGCAGCTAATCTTCCTTTTCTTGACCCAAGGTCCTCATGCAGGAGTCAAAAAGACCTCACGGTGGTCCTCTTAAGTCATTTGGTTAGGACAAGGAGAACAAAACATGGGTACCCTGAGGTAAGGATTTTGACCCCTGGGCTTTGATAAGGGTCTTCAGAGGTAGCTAAGAAATTCCACCGAGCAGGGGATACAGCACAGGAATCCCAGCCAGGGATGGGCCGTGTGTGTGTGGAGACAGAAAACCAGAAGCAGCAGGAATCCCAGGCCTGTAGCCTCGCTCCAGGTGTCAACAGAGGTAGTAAAACGGTCATAAAAGTGCTTTCTTTGTGAGATGTGTGCCAGCAAAGGGATGCATCTAGACAATGTGGCTCTTTTCAGCGTTGGCTGAGTCATTCATTCCTAGAAGCTTTCTGGTAGCCCCACCCGTCTCAAGAGATGGCACATTTTCAGAGCCCGCACTTTATTTTAATTTTTTATTGTTATGTTAATCACCATATATTACATCATTAGTTTTTGGTGCAGTGTTCCATGATTCATTGTTTGTTCATAACACCCAGTGCTCCA